GGTAAGGGGGTGGAGCTTGCTGAGTATAGAGAGGGCAGAGAATAGTCCACTCAGAACACAGGAGGATGTTTATGATTTCAGAATATGTTTCAAGATGTTTAGAAAACTGGAGAAGAATTCTGTTTGTGTTTGCTGGTTGGGGGAGAGGGGGCAGGCAAGGGGCAGAATAAGCCAACTCTGAGATTTAAGCCTAAGGAAAAAGAGCCTGAACATTCCAAGAATATTCCAAACAAACCCAAAATGTAGTGGTTGCTTTTCCTGCACTTGCCAATTTTCACTGAGTAAATAAAAGATGTTTTATTTTGATTAGGGATTGTTATTAATCAGAAGTGCCAGCAATAACCATAATTAAGTAGAACTATAGGAGAAATATTTATCCCGAAGACAAAAAGAAAACAAGAAATAATTATAATTTTAACTTAATGGGGAAGAAGTGAGAAAGAGAGGTGAGATTCAACCAGGGGCTCAAAAGCATTTGCAGAATTAAAGTTTCTTTCATTGTAAATGAAATTTTAATTTTGGTCAAATGGTTTGGCAATATTGACTGAGTAAGCATGATCAAAAGTCATCTACATCTATAGTTATTATAATTGTAAACAAAGATGATTAAATGAAAATTAAACTTCCTATGTATCTATTACCTATCTGTCTTTTCTGTACAGTTTATATTTTTGTGAGATGCAGAATAACAAAGTGACTAAAAAAAAAGACTCAGGAGCCAGTCTGCCTTGTTTTGCTTCTTGGTTCCTTAAACTATGGAACTTGAGCACCTTTCTTTGCTTCGATTTCTTTCTATCTAAAAAAGGTTTATAAATAGAGTTGTGGGGGGGATTAAATGAGTTAATGAATCTAGAACACTTAGCTGGGTTCAAAGTAAGTGCTATGTAGTTGCAAGTTGTTACTTGCTTCCTCTCCAGAGATGAAAGTTCAACCAAGAAAATGCCTTACTTTATCCTAGGAATTCTGTGAGACTTGCCCAGTAGTAAACATATGACTGAGAATGAGATAAGAATGGTCTTGAAAATAAATGAGTTGTTCATAGGAATTAATGAAAAAGCTCAATGTATCATAAGAGAAGACCTTCTGAGTGAATCCTCTTWCCTGATCAGAAGTGTCACAAATGCAATGTAGTTTAACATCCAAAAGTTAGCAGTATATGCTGAATCAGTCTTTTATAGTTAATAAACAGTAGTGCAATAAAACCTTCCTGCTAGAATAGCTATATCTAGTTTTTCATTGTTTGTTYAATAAGCCCAGTTTCCAGAAGGCAACTAGTAGAAAGACAGCTAAGATTTTATTTCTATTCAATCAATTCTATCTCAAAGTAGATATTAAACTAATAATGGCAGTAATTAAACTACATGAAGGATAAAAAGGAATGCATTTGTTGCCCAGATAACCAAATTGAATATTTCTACACTGTACATCATATACGACACGCAAACACCAAGATAGATCAATGTGAGTGATGAGAGATGGGAAGAGCCACAAACTTCCATCATGATAGAACACTGCCAAACACTTTCGTAAATTACTAAAGTGTGAAATTTTGCAGCTTTCCTATACCCTGCAAGAGAAATATCGTTTACAAATGCTACTTAAGATAAAGTAATTAATATTTATACTTTGGTATTTAATTTTTGGATCTCAATTCAACATGACATTAAGGTAGCAATAATCATCATAAGTATTATTAAAGTGTCATAACATGTTATAAATGTTTTTTATTTTTCACTGTTAGGAAAACTTTCCATATATGTTCATCTGAACCCCACTCAAAACCTATGAGAATTGTGCTGTTATAACCCTCATTTTGTAGTTGGAAAACCTAAAGATTAGAGAATGAAGCAAAAAACAAAACTTGCTAAGGGCCCACACAGTAAATGGTATAGCTTGAATTCAAAGCTGGTAGAGAGCCTGGAGTCTACTACATTCATTACACTACCTCCTTGAAGTGGGTTCCAAATTTTATCTTGGTCAAATGGAGAATTGGTTGGGGATACGCTGCATTGTTTGTGGATATTTGTACTCTTAGGGACACAATGAAAACATGTTGTGCAAAACTGGAAACTGTCTCTCCACTGTGCTCATTATGAAGCTTGGTGCTCAATGATATTCAACCCTAAATCATGTGGAGAACCCAACATTAAAGGCAGATGCCAGGATATGGAAGCAAGTAGAATCCTGATCAAACTAAAGGTTCACAAAATGGCACTGTTTTTGAAACTCTCATGTATTTCTGGGCCTACCATACAGAATCATACATAGAGTTTTGAGCTGATCCATTAATTGCGTCTCTGAACTGTAAGTTAGTCAGCTGGATAAGATATCATATTGCAGTTCCAACTGGTGAACCAGTCAATGAAATCTAAAGTGCCATTGCTAAAACACCTTTGGGACTGTGCTGGTTCCAAGAACTGGGGACATAGAATTGGGCCCTAAGTGGAAGCTTCCAGTTTTTAAGCAGTGAGGATCCAGAACTCCCAGGAAGTATATCTGCACTGAGGAATCAAGTTCAATTCTACTGAATTATAAGGAATTAGAAAGTGCACATTGGAATTCATAAAGTCCAATTTTAAATTCAGACTTGTGACCTCATTCAAATAAGTCAATGTCTAATAATATATTTCATGATATCTGAAATTACTATGAGCTATAATAATATCAAGCCACACAATAGTCTTATATTTTTGTCAATAAAATTTCATATAAAAAGTTACTTTCCTCTTTTCAGTTCACACAATTCCTTATAGAAAATTAGGCACTCAGAGAGAGAAAAAATTCTTCCAGACCTTTAGGGTCCATTCTCAGCTTTGCCTAGAGTATAAAGAAAAGGCATGAGGAAAAGGATGAAAGATTATTCATCAAACTTATTCCCCTTGCCCATACCCTCAGGAATACACATGAATTAGACTACCTATATATATTCTTAGGGCTTTACATGTGAATAACTTCCTGCATTTTTATTTTGCAAAATGGAAGGGTCAGCTTTCCTTTGGCTTACCCAAAGGAGTGACACAACGTCAAAGGAAAACTTAGATATTGCATTGTGCAATAATAAACAGTGAAAGCAAATTAAGAAAAAGTGTTAGGCTAACTAACTGTGAATTTTGATATATTTACTTTATTTATTTATTTATATKTGGTGCTGAGAATCAAACCCAGTGCCTCACACATGCTAGGCAAGCACTCTACAATTGAGCCACAACCCCAGCCCTACAGTTTGCTTTTTTGCATTTAATTTTTAAAAACTTTTGTAATTAGTGAAATAACATTAAATAAGTCATTTCAGAAAAGAAACACATGTACATTTTCTTTACAAAGTTAGGATTTTTGCTATGATTTTGATTCATTAAAATCAGATTCATAYATATATGATAAAAGGCAACTAAATCCTGGAGAAACATTTTCTCCCAAGCACCTCTATGTGTTTAACCTGGAAGATACAGGAGATTTGGCATTTTTTTTTTTCTTAGAAAGCAGGTTTCAAGTTTTAGAAAAAATATGCCCTATGTCAACTTCTGATTTTATACTGATACTAGTGATGCTTATGAATATCCATGATATCATTTCAAACCCAAAAGTAATAAAGACAAGTCATGGAAAAAAGTGTGCTACAACTATAGTGTTTCACACATGAACAGAATCCTATTCTCACAAAGAAGCCTTTTTTGCCTTTTATATTTCCGTATTGTTTGGGTTAAAAATTCACTATGTTTAATATAGATCAGACAATCCTGTGTTTATGGAATGGGCACTGCATGATACACTGCACATCTTAACACTGAACCTTACAGGTGCCATCACAGGTGCCAATTCAGTTGTCATCTAAATTTTACTTAAAGACCTTAGGTGATTCTCAGGCAAGGGGGTCCAGGGACCATCTCTTGAGACACAGTTTTATTAGACAAATTTAGGATAAGTTAGAGCAGGGCTGAACCTGTTTAAATGTGAAGTTAAAAGTCCAAGTTCCAGTTAACATCTCAGAAAAACCATTAGACRCATCCCACAGGACAATGCTTGAAACTTCCATGTGAGCAAAAGGCCCTGTATGCTAATTTTTTTCAATTATAAATAAAAATCAGCTGGGTGTTGAATAATTTATGGCTTCCTGCAAAGCTGAATTTGAAAACATCAAGCTGGCAGCCAGTGCCATTCCAGCCCACGCCTGGACAGCTGCCATACATGCATATCCGTTACTTTTTTGGAGATTATCTCCACATGCTGTATTATCTGGCTTTCCACATTAGCAGGTAACATGAAACACAATCAATATCACAGAGGCCACAATACAATTAAAGACAAAGATGAGGCATCTACAGCTCACCCGTACAGAAACCTGAAGGGAATAAGGTATTGTCTTCTAATTATGGAAGCCAATCTTGGTTAGAAATAAAGATAAATCTGATAGTTATTGACTTACTGGAGGTCCCTTCAGAAATAAATATGCAATTAAAATAGCAACTGATAATGGAACTTGAGAAATCAAAGTCACAAAATGGTTACATTTTATAAGTCAGTTGGACTAGAATGTTGAAAGTATAAGATTCCTTTGAGGGAAATTTAATTACTGTTAAAGAAGATAGTGTATAAGCATCGAATACACTGGGACTTACATGTRAGGTTTTGAATTTTCAATTTCTTTCCATTGAGCAAAATGGAAAATGTTGATTTGTTACCCTGAATTTCATATGCCTCCATCCCCCAAATGATCCAACTATTTTTGGTCCTTATAGCTCTGGTTCACCTATGGAACAGACACTGAATTCATGTAGTATTGGAACATTCTCCACTTCAAAAAAGAACTCATCAACAAAGGTAGTATCTGATATCTTAAATCTGAGTAATATTTTCTCTAAAAAGTCTTTTTCATTGATGATTTTTCACCCATACATTTTTATTCCCTTCAGATTTTGCTAATGTGGATTGTAGCATTTTACACTTAAAAAAAAATAAAATAAAACCCTAAACGCACCTCCTGTGTGTTCTGGTTCCCGGGTACTTTCACCAGAAAGGGGCTGCTGTAATGAGAAAGCTCTGCTCTCTGCTGGCCTCAAGTTAGATTCTAGTCTGTGGAATTTGTGAATTCTGTCTCTGACAAGAACAGAATTGCCCCTTTCCTCATGTTCTGCACCCTCTCTGGCATCAGACCGACCAAGATCCTTTTTTTGGACTACGTTTGCAATCTCAGCTACCAGGTCTGATTCTGATTCTGCCTTTTCTGTAGGATTATATTTGTGCACATGAACAACATCTTCCCTTTCTCCTAGCAGCTTGGAAAGCAGTGAATAGAAATCACCTGTGGAAAAGAGAAGAGATAAAGAGGTGGAGGGTTGATGAGATTGTAAAATTTACAAAATTTGGTGCCTTAAAAATATCAACTCTTGATTCTTCATAGTGAGAGACAAGGTTGCTTTCAACAAGTATAGGAAAAAGAAAACAAAGAATTACTCAGTGGAAGAATAATATACCTTCACATTTCAATTACCTTCTACTTCTTTCTGTCAAGARTACACATATTATGCCTATTGACATATTAGTCAAAACAAAATAGTGCACATGTGATTTCATGGTACAATTCAATCAACAGCTTTCACAGTATAGTTTAATTGATATGAAAGTTAAGAGTTCCTCAGATTTGTAAAATAAAATACCAACAGCTATGTTAGAGAAAAGATATCTTTACAGGCAAACCCTGTGAAGGTTTTTTTTTTTTAATTCTATTAAAGTTTAAGCTATCAGAAAGGATTATATATGTTGTTTTCCAAGAAGATCCTGTAAAATACAACAAAATATCACATATGTGTTCATTTGGCACTTGGTATACCAGTTTTATCACTATTTTGTTAGTAATGCTACTGCAAATCATTCCACTTGTTTCCTCTAAATAAAAAATGAGAGAATAATTTTGGAAGCAAAGAACAGTTTGAAGTTAGTTTGAAACAAAGGAGAATATGTTAACAAACTAAAACCATTAGAATAATTTGCCACTAAGTGTGTTTTATACTTTCCTACATAGATAGTAAGGAAGGAACTTAAAAATAATAATCCAATTCCCCCACAACAATTATTTATCAAATATGGTCACAGATAGAAAAATGTCTACAGAAAGTTCTTGAATCATTTTAACCTTCATCATTTACATCTATAGCTTTAAATCTGTGTTGAATGGGAAACATGAAATCATTCTATGGTAACCCCCAGTTCTTCCTGTCCTTACCCTCACCCTGAATTAATTACTGCTAATGAAGAAATTACTTGTGATTATAAAATCCTATTGCCTACATTTTAATTACATTAATAGCACCAAAATATAACATTTATAAAACCTGTTTTGTGGATATTTGGAAATAAAAATGGTGACTGGTTTAGCCATGATACATTCCACCAAAGAATATATTAAGAAATTGGTACAAGGGAATATGAAGTCTTTCCAAAATGTTTTTTTATAAATTCTGTAAGGTATACATATAGTCATACTTATTCCAAGTAGGTTTTCAGTTCTTGCCCATGAAATCAGCTTGTCCCAGGTGAAATATTCAATCAGAAAATAATTACCAACTAATAAGGGTAATTTCTGTAAAATGAACAAAGCAAATTATAACTCAACCAAACTGGTTAGGCCACAGGTGGCATCCTGCCTCTCAGAAGAAAAATTAATCCATTACTGCTAAATTCTCCTGCCCCACATGCTAAATATAAACAGTTTAATACACTTGTACAATAAGACATTTTATATAGAAAATAAGACACAAGGTAATTTCAGGGAGAGATTTTTTTTAAAAAAAAAAACATAGTTTAAAAACTTGATTAATGTCGCGGGGCTAATACTGATGCCAGAATACAGGTTCAGAATTTGCAGTCCTTCGGCTTTGTTAGGAAATGTTGTAACAGTGGTGATAAAATACTAAATGCAGATCACTCCAGTTTCTTCAAAATTGTCATTACAATTATCACTGGGTTAAGAAAGCAAACACGGTTAAAACAATGTAATGATCTTGGCTGCAATGCAAGTTGCACTGAGCTTATGAGAGCATAGCTCCGAGCAGAATTTCTATAAATACCTCTTTACATAGGAGAAAGGCCACTAGATGGCTATCTCTTAATTCTCAYATACAAGATAGAAAATTGCTTTATTTATTAATTTTATTTTTTACCCCTTTTTAGGTTTATCAGCTAGATGGGCAGATAAAATACTGAAATGTTAACCATTTTTTCTTAAGTATATTAAGATCTTTATTTAAGAAACACCTCTGAGGAATACAATGGATGGAGCAAAGCATGAACTAAGGAGGTTGGGTGACTGATCTCTGTACCATCTCTCAACTTTTTCTGTCTTTTCAGGTTATACTCCAGCTATCTTGGAATTCTACTTCCTTTAATGTCAACTTTGTTTCTTCTTCCTGGATAACATGCTGCCACTCATCAACTAGCTCCTCAACCTTCAGTTCTTGGGAGCCATTTAGCCACTTATATCCAAAACACCTTCCTGATAATTCAAATTAGGGGTGTCTGCTGTGTGTACATAGAGTACTCAGGTCTTTCCCTGTACCCTTTTATTTTTGGTACCAGGGATTGAATTTAGATGCACTCCACCACTAAGCCACATCCCCAACCCTATTTTGTATTTTATTTAGAGACAGGGTCTCATTGAGTTGCTTAGCACCTTGCTTTTGCTGAGTGAGGCTAGCTTTGAACTAATGTTCCCCGAGGAGCTGGGATTATAGGCGTGCATCACCACTCCCAACTTTTCCCTGTACTCTTAACTGTCCCCTGCTAGTCTATATTTCATACTTGTGAAACCCTACTTAGTAGTTACTCTGTACCTTTAAATAAATTTCTTAACCTCAAATATAATAACTATATTTGAGATTTGTTTTGTGGATTTAAAGGTAGTTAATGTAAAATACCTAGTCCTGGGCATACCGTAATAAAGCAGGTACCACTAATTGTAGCTTCTTTGATTATTAATTAAAAAGACAAACTTTAGTTTCAACATGTATCTGCTGCAAACTATGGCTTATATAAAATTTTAAAGTCAGTACCTATTTCCTAGTCAAATATTGGGATATTCTTTTTTTGTTTCTTTGTTTTTCTCTACTGAACTTTATTTTATTTTTTGGTATTTTTCCTTTTAAAAATTAGTTCTTTTTTGTTATATATAATAATAGGATTCATCTTGACATCATTATAAAAGCATGGATAAAATGTGTTCTAATATAGTCCTCAGTACTTCTCTTTTTCTCCCCATCTCCCTCCCCCTGTTCCCTCTCTATATGCTACTGATCTTTCTGTTATTGTATTATAGTTTTTAAAATTAGTATCTTGCGTATCTACATGATGATGAAATTCACTGTGGTAAATTCATGTGTGTACATAGGAAAGTTATAAATAGGCAAAAAGAAAAAAAACTTCTTTTTAAAATTTATAGCACTCTATTTTCTCAACAGGTCAGTATGGCTGCTATAGTTATTTGCTTCTTGACTTTGCCTAAGGAGCCATTGTATCTGTACTTTTTTCATCTATTACAGAGAAGGAACTATTCCTACTATAGTGTTCTGGATGCCAGCCCTGCCCCCACACCCTAGTCTTTCCTATGTGCTCTCTTTTCTTTTCTAATACAACTTCTCTGCCTCACTTGCCTCACAGACTATAAACACACTCACTTAAGGCTTATCTTGAGTGATGTGGAGGTGGGGAGAGATCCTCTCATGATATAACATATCTTTCAAACTCTTCCATCTTGCCATTTCCATTACAAATTCCAGCACTGTACGAAAAACCTTTCTGTGATAATGAAAATATTCTATGTCTGCCCTTCCAATATTATAGCCACCAGCTACAGGGGGTTACTGAGTATTTGTAATGTGGCTAGTGTAACTGAGGAAATTCTAAATTTTCTTACTTTTAATTAATTTAAACCTCCATGCATGGCCAGTGTCTACTATACTGGAGAGTGAAGGGGGGCTTTTTGTTTTCCTTGTCCTCACATCCTCTTCCCTCCTTAAATAAAGACATTTGCTTTTATTTCCTTCTTCACCACTATATGGTTTCTTCATGAATGGATCAAGAGATCCACTCAGGTTGCCAAGTTTCAGCCCAGACTCAGCAACTGCCAAAGCCAAAAGACTCATCACCTCGGCCAACTGGAGACATGGAGGATGGATGAGTCTCCATCAGAAACTCCCCTTCCACAGTGTTCTCTCTCTCTCTCTCTCTCTCTGGACACAATATCTTTATTTTATTTTTGTGGTGCAGAGGATTGAATCCAGTGTCATACATATGCCAGGTGAGCGCTCTATCACTGAGTCACGATCCCAGCCCCTTCCACAGTGTTCTTTACAGAGCTCTACCAGCTATCTTTCTTCCTGTTTTTCTTTTGCCTATCAAAGGAAAAGGTTGGCATTGCATAACATCTATTTTTAGCATATTTCCCCTCCTGGCTACAGTTTCTTTTTACTAAGTAATCCCAGTCACTCACAAGGCTTAAACTACCACCTCCAGGCAAATGGTGTCAAAATCTGGTGTTCTTCTAACACCAAACTGTTACATAAAACTTCTGAAAATTTCCACTTGCATGTCTATTTCACAGGCATATGAATTTATTATGTATACAATTGAGTTCTTTATCTTCTCTCCATATTTTTTTTAAACATAGTATCTCTCCCAGTTGACAATACTGTGTTTTGAGCTGATCAATCCAAAAAACTGGATCTGGCCTCTTTCATCAGTGAATCACAAAGTCTAAATTATGCTGACTTGTCAACATGATATTTTCTTTCCCTACCAACTGTACTCCCTTGGAATTCTTATTATTCTTCAACTGACATACTGAAAGGCTGGTCTCCTTCCTCAGAACAGGTTTCCAGTCTGATTTAGAAAGTTAAAACCTTCTGGAATGATATAAAAGCTGCTTTAACCAGGCATGGTAGTGCACACCTTGTAATCCTAGTCACTCAGAAGACTGAGGCAGGGGGTTTGCAAGTTCCAACCCAGACTCAGCAACCTGGTGAGATCCTGTCTTAAAACAAAAAATAAGAAAAGCTGGGGATATAGCTCAGAGGTAGATCACCGTGGGTTTTGTCCCTAGTACCATAAACAAGCCAAGACAAAGCAAAACAAAAACAGATGCTATGGAACTAACTTGTGATTGATGGCACCTTACTTTTTCTGATTCTCCTGGGTTCTATTCCACAGATAGTTTTTCCTCAGCTCTGTCAACGTATGTTTTTCTGGATGGTTATCCCTAATTCTGAGACCCACTGCTAAGGCAACCATATAATGTATTTTCCAAACTGG